GAAGTTCAAATGGATTGTAAGAAAACTGACACACACGTCATTGTAAACTCGCGAAAAGTGTTATTAACGGAAATATATTCGCTTATCAGTGCAAATATGTTGAAAAGACATTCACTGCAACGAATGTAACAACGTTCGATATGCCTGGAAGACTGTAGTGTTGTTGAAATGGTTTAATTCCATCATTTACGATACAACAATCTTGGTGACAGAAGGGTCGACATTTTGATATTTTTTCAGAATGAACATGTTTGAGGATAATAAGAGCGACAAAACCCTTTCCAATTTACAGTCCCGACTGTATAAGCGTGTGTTTATGAACCACTAGTGAAGATACCAGGTGTTCGCGAAATGGTGGGCGTTTTCTGCCACATGGCTGGCACCCGTCAACAAGTTAAAATTCCAAAACCATCGACAATACATTAAAGTACGTTCATAACGAACACGCTTATAACGAACTGACTGATATAACGAACTTTTTTTTTAGTTCCGACCATTTGTTGTATAAATGCTGTATATATGCCTATAACGAACTACGGTTATTACGAACTGAAATTAGTGGTCCCCTGAGTTCGTTATAACCGTAGTTTACTGTACATCTATTTATTCGAGATTTGGAGTGCGGATATTGGACTTAAGAACATAGCTATGCACAACAACGATATATCGGATTAATCGAGTTCGAGTTAACGAGAATCCTCTGAATGCAACATGTCACATGTTGGCCTTTCCTGTAGATGCCGGTTTCCTGTACGCCGTTTTGTCAAGGAAATATTTTCTCATTTATTTGATGATTTAGTTTAATTTTCTATCTTATTAAATTATACGATCAGTGAAATGTCATTTCCTTCGAACATGTGCATATCGGACACGCTTACCCTTTTCGCGAAAACCAGCTGGTGTCATTTGTATTTTGCCTTGGAATATGTTACTGCAGAAAATCGAGACTGGTGATTCTCTGGCGTTGACATTTTACGTTTATGTTACAAACGGTAACATATATGTATACAGTGGAATATCGTTATTTATTGGAACCTGCTTATCCATGAATCTTATCGTATCTACTTATCCAGGATTTCGCTAGGAATGGAGCTTACGCGTATAGAAGCATGAATATTGTCACTCAATTATCAGCGGTATATAAGTTTATGCTGGTATATAAAAATATAATTCTTAAGTCTATCACTAGTCACCATGTCAGTTCACGTGCTTAATACGCTGCCCATCGCATCAGTTCTTTGACTTGCCTATATGTTATACGTGATACCTAACGCGTTGACATCAGTCTTGTCAAACACCAAGATCAAGTAGACGGTTACACCATTGATGTCGCCTAGGTAACACCGGTCCAAACTTTTAATAACTTCATTTAAAATTCCTCCACAAATAATTTAGATCTTTTCAATTTTCTCTCAATTTTCATTTTTGATTGATAGGCATTACTTAGAAGTTGACAAAGTAGACACAATTTATGGATAACAACTTCTTTAATACTGTAAAGGCGACGTTTCGGTATAGATCCTTTTGCCGTTGTCAAGCAAGACTTGACCCATGAATTGTGTCTGATGTGTTTTTTGTAGACTTTCATTTGAAAACAGATATGTCATCGAATCATACATAACCCTACCCACTGTTCTATTTGGAGTTGGACTGCCTCCGTGGTCTAGTGGTAGAGCGTCCGCCCGGAGAGCGGAAGGTCCGAGGTTCGATCCCCGGCCGCGTCATACCAAAAGACATAAAAGATGGTACTTGTTGTTACCCTGTCTGGCGCTCGGTATTAAGGGGCTAAAACAAGGACTGGTCGGCTCGGAGTCAGTATACTGTGTCTGAGTGGGGTATTCATGTTAAATTGCGGCATGGTATCTCAGTGAGCTAGCACTATTAATCGGCATTGGTCCGGACAAGTACAAGCAGCCACACACACACACGTGCATGCACGTCGCTATATATGCAATAATCTTGGACGCGACGTTAAACCCAATTTCACCTCACCTCATGTGGAGTTGTGTTATGTGTACAATATCAGTACTGATGTTATAATTGAGGGATTACATTTATCAGTTGTAGGTGCATTGTTGCATTTGTGTACAAATACCAGCGGTGCTTTCAAATATCATTGCAAAATGGATGAGATTGTCACCTACTTCATTAATATAACGTCAACAAGTTTCCATGTTAGCATTAAGCGATATAGGTAGGCCCGCTGTGTCAAATCCGAGTGGTAAGGCTCGCTGACTTGGTTGATGCATGTCATTGTAACCCAATTGCGTGGATCGATGCTCATGATGTCAATCACTGGATTGTCTGTTCCAGACTCGATTATTTACAGGCCGCCGTCATATAGCTGAAATATTGCTGAGTGCGGCGTTAAACACCAACAAACAAATTATTGTATGCATCCTTTGTCGTATACTCAACACAATCCTTAGTCTGTTTCGTCCGGTACAGAGGTTTTTTTTCCATCTTTGTATGATGGGATGGGTCTGGCGAATCTTGTACAGCATTAAATTAGTATCCAAACAATAATACTAGTCTGAAGTATCTTGTATAGCATCCCTCTGTTGGTATCCAACCATAACTCTTAGTCTGAAGAATAGTGTGTAGCATCCCAACAGAATTCTTAGTCTGAGGAATCGTGCATAGCATTCTTCTGTTTGTATCCAACCAGAAATCTTAGTCTGAAGAATAGTGTATAGCATTCCAACAGAATTCTTAGTCTGAGAAATCGTGTATAGCATCCCTCTGTTAGTATCGAACCAGAAATCGTAGTCTAGAGAATCTTGTATAGCATACCTTTGTTAGTACCCAACCAATACTCTTAGTCTGAAGAATCTTGTATAGCATCCCTCTGTTAGTATCCAACCAGAACCCTTAGTCTGAAGAATCGTGTATAGCATCCCAAAAGAATTCTTAGTCTGAGGAATCGTGTATAGCATCCTTTTGTTGGTATCCAACCAGATTTCTTAGTCTGAAGAATCGTGTATAGCATCCCAAAAGAATTCTTAGTCTGAGGAATCGTGTATAGCATCCCTTTGTTGGTATCCAACCAGAATTCTTACTCTAAAGAATCGTGTATAGCATCCCTCTGTTAGTATCCAACAAGAATTCGTAGTCTGGAGAATCTTGTATAGCATCCCTCTGTTAGTATCCAACCCGAACACATTCCGAACCCACATTTGTCTTTTTGTCTCCCTACAGATTACATTCCCGGAAAGCATTTTCATTACAATCTTCCGGTAGTCTCCTGATACAGTAAAGTACGTTTCTAACGAACACACTTATAACGAACTGACCGATATAACAAACTTTTTTTTAGTCCCGACCATTTGTTGTATAAATGCTGTATATATGCCTATAACGAACTACGGTTATTACGAACTAAAATTAGTGGTCCCTTGTGAGTGAGTTCGTTATAACCGTAGCTTACTGTAGAAACCTTTGCCTATCCCTTTACTGCAAACATGTTTTTCGATTGTCCAAATAGAATAGACGTCGCCAATCTGTTTATACTGTATACATATAACATATCAGTAATGTACTTTAACTTTCAATGAATGTATATAATAGGATATCTAAGATTAATACCTATCACTGACAAGAAGATCGTGTCCTTATGTCGCAAACATTTTCTCGTTATTCTCGTATTTCGGTACAAAATCTTACCAGATGAAAGAACCATCGTGGGAATATAGTCACGCTATACATTGTGAAGATCAGTGATAACGTTTCGTGCAGATATTAAATTGTAGATTGGTATTATGCCTTCTGAAATTTAACCAATTAGTCATTACTGTCCTGAGCAAGACGTGAATGGCTATGATATCCATTCCGCTATATATACTTAGTACTGGCAAATTCTCATATGAACTTTATTAATTGTTACTTAGAGCATTTTTGAAAAAAAAACACTATGTTTTATTCGTTTAACATTTAGTAGTTTCATTGTAAAGATGAAGAAAATCACTCTATTCGTTTGAGCATTATTAGTAGTAGCAGCAGTAGAAGTAGTGGTAGCAGTAGTAGTAGCAGTAGCAGTAGTAGTAGTAGTAGCAGTAATAGTAGCAGTTGCAGTAGCAGTAGTAGTAGCAGTGTTGTTGTTGTTATTATTATTTTTATTTTTATTATTATGATTATGATTATTATCATTATTATTATTATTATTATTATTGTCATTTGTTGTCGTTGTTGTTGTTAGTAGTAGTAGTAGTAGTAGTAGTAGTAGTAGTAGTAGTAGTAGTAGTAGTAGTAGTCTTGGTTTCATTAATTACTATTTTGGACTAACATATTTTTTATACATTATTTTTCATCAGCGAAATATAGTTTTAGATATAACTTGCACGTTCTTATTCTGTCGTATAGCATATTGTTTCTATATATATCGGTAGGCAGTCAGGATAATGTGTTTCTCCCAGCGCGTGGCTTACATCGTGTTGGCTCCGATCACGCTATATATTAGTGATCTTACCCTTGCTACAATAACCTTGATGTTAACAAGGTTTTATTGGATCAGACTAATATTTTCCTCTCGATGAATTTCCGCCTTTTTCCCCGTTTCCCTCAACCCTACTGGAACACAAAAATAATGTTCATTAATCCAGTACAAGATATAATTTGTAAGATAATGCACGGGTCATAACAAAGCGCCTGGCGAGCGAACGGGCAATATGCATAACTTAATTAGAGCCAATATGTAGAAAAAAGACACGGGCGAAAAATAATTATTAGCAATTTAGGAATGAATGGAATCTGTGGTTCTCATGGCATTGTGAGCCCTTGTAAAGCATTTCAATATCATAGCCTAACGCAAATTAAATCAAGCTCGCGAACAAAAATTTATATAAGCCTCTATGCCCAATAAGGCACATTATAGCGCTGTGATTATAATGGCTAATTGCAGATGGCAGACGGACTATTGGAAACTGAATGAGTGACAGTTTTCGCGAGCACGTCGTAGAATCGGGGGTTGGAATTGATTAGTGGAACAATGCTTAGACCGGGAAACCGAGGCGGGGACAATTATCCCGCGACAACCATTCCATTAGTTGCACCGTCGCTCAAATCTATCGCGAGAGACACTATCTAAAGGCTGTAGCCTCTCCACGGCCATTCTGTGAATGAAGAGGGCGTTTTGACAAGAGCTGGACATGAATTTTGTACCTTCACCGTTTCTTACCCTAAACGGGGCCCGGTCTTTTGCATCCGGTTTCCCCGCTCCGGTTTTTAAACCTGGATTTGGAATGTGCGGCAGTAATTTTTCTTTTAAACAGTTCCTTCACGGAAAGGATTTTGATTTACGTGACAATTCTCTCCAGGGACATCTTCCATCGCCGGTGTCACTCTACCTGTCGCCATTTTTACCTTCGACTTTTAGCACGAGCTTCAAAGATGTGTCGTCTGCTCCGTCTTGGAAACCCCATTTATCATCAACAGACGACAATGAGCGGGATAAATTGGCGCCGAGTCGAAGTGATAAGACAGGTGAGCTACGATTATCTCTTTAACCCGTAATCTTGTAATCCTTTTAGTCTCACTGCTTAACGATGGGTTTCGTTGTCGGATTTCAGACATGGAATTATCAATATATTATATTTGATTGACGGCGGGTTTATTTCCAAGATTGTTTATGCAAAGTTCGGTCTGGTTTTCTAATGATTAACTGGCAGGTATTTTCAGTATTAATATCTCCGAATTTAACAGCAAAAAAATTAACAAAATATCGGTCCACGATTATTGATGATTTCGTTTAGTTTTTCAAATTTAAGAAAACATTTTTCAAAAAACTAAACTGCACATAGTTAATGTTTATGTCAATTTGCTAATGGATCTATGATATTTATTTTTTTTAAACACAATTTATCCTTTTATGCTCTGAACGAAGCTTTTGTAAATTGAGTCATAATTCATGCAACGGAATAGCAAAAAAAAGGGGGGGGTGATGAAAAATTATAAATATTAGACGAGAATGAGAAATAAACAGTTAGGAACATGTTTACTTTATAAACATGTATCATGAAATATCTGGTTTGATCTTACGCTATAAGTCAATCACTGTCAGATAATTATGTGATAAGTTTCTAAGATACAACAACCGATTGTTCTGGCGCCAGAACATATTGATAACAATTGCAGTAATAATAGGAAAACATAAAACACGCTTCTACTAATGATTCTATGTTCCTGATATATTAATCCGATGTGTATGTATTTTATTCTTTAAATGCCTGATATAGTGGTATGGAGTATGTTTCGCTGTAAAAAATGCGTGACATCTTAGTTACAAAATGTACACAAGAACAATGATCTAAATTAATTATACATTTAATCAAATAATTATTTATATCAGTAAATATCACACAAAATGTCACATTACAGGTTATAGTGATTAAAACATCAAGACGCCCTGTGTACAAGTTATTCTTCATTCTGCAAGTTTGGTACCAAGACGTTGGGAAAGGAGCGTTTTGTCTTTGTTTATGTATCCGTTGCTATAGCAACGGGATGGAAGAAGAACCCGAGGCAGCCGCAGAAATATAACTCTTCTTCCTGCCATCACTATTGTTTTTCTTGAAAAAGGAAATTTGATACGGTTTTTGTCGCCTTTTATTCAGGTGGAAGGTTGAATCGTGCATGCATTAGCGTGTATGCAAAGATAAAGCGAAACCAAGTGATATTATTTTGAATTTTCTAAATAATGCGGAAAAGATATTTTATATATAATATTTTTTTAAATCTGTATCTTTATTTGCCATGTTGTCGATTCGCTACATGTTGATCATTATCTTCTGAAAATATTATCCTTTGTGAAGAATATATTAGATTTATAATTAATACTGGTGATTGAATTTATGAGAAAACGAACAAAGTGATGTAAATATTCAGCGTCAACGCCAGAGAAAAATAAGTCTCGAATATAATGTTTAGGTCTTAGTGTTGAAACGAAAAATATGTTTCGATCAATCTGGGTCGCTTGAGACCTGTTATTGCTACTATAAACTCGGACAGCAATTGTATTGAGATATTGATCAGACACATGAATTGATGAAGCTCTGCATCGATACCCGAACAAATATATGAATATAATATGAATAATACTACCACAGTATCACGACAGTAGCTGCAAGGGCGATGGTGTATTTCATTCATTTAATCCCTTATGAAATAGCCAAGTCGGTTTGGAATGCGATTATCCATCTTCTGTAGCATGCTATCCTATGTGTTTTGTCATCTGGCTTGTTTTCTAAATCTTATTTCCCAGATTATCATAAGATCTGCCTCGAAACAGGTTTATTATTATTAATATTGTCTTTGCGAACTATGAAATTTCGCTGTAGGGACGTGATTTTATGAGCATTAATTGATTTACTTATGCGGAGAGGATTTCTTGCAGAAACCTCCGACTGTGAAGTGGACAGCACTGTTGATAAACTGGACAATTCATCTCTCCTTGCTAACAGGAGGAAGAAAAAGCGAAGGCACAGGTAATTTGCCATTTTGATTTATCCTTACCAGACTACTGCGCTCAGTTCAGTTCCGTCTAGGCCGGCCAGTGATCAGTGATGGTTGTTTGTTCCATAGCACTGTCTATATTGTGTGCATACAGACACCCGCTCTGATACTGCCATCAGTTATGAAGTTGTCATAGACTCTCCTTTTCGAAAGATTTACGGCAAACACATGGATGACGTTTCCAAATTTGAAGCTTCAATGACAAACAAGTCCGATGCTATTCCCTTTTTAGTGTACCGTGTGACCCCGTGTTTTCGGGTGAAATATTAACCTGCCTTTGCATGTGTTTGTGACGGGTGACCAGTGGGCCAGGATACGCTCACCTGGTATCATCACTTTTTGTTCTGATTCATAAACACATGCGTATGTTATAATTGAATCGTATAATGGACGCTGCTTTGAGCAGATATTTCTAACGATTATAGAAAGCGTTTGGTCTTTTTTTAATATTCAGACCGAGTTTATTCAGAATAAAAACCAGCATGGCCCTGAGAATATTGAACAATCATAGCATTGATGCGCATGCGATATATGCATATATCTTACAGTCGTAATAAGTAGGAATCGATATGCGAGTAATATGTAAAATATGAATTTGTAATAGGACATTAAATATTATCATGGTCAGATGAATTAATTGGCAAGTGTACACGATATATGATGTCCATTGCTTATCAGTTTATATATTTTACTCTTTTGGCTAATGTATTGTTCACCTTCTTTACGAAAGTGTATACAGTAAACTACGTTGTTAACGAACACGCTTATAACAAACTGACAGATATGACGAACATATTATTTTCTCCCGGCCACTGCTGTATACAGTATAGTACGTTTATAACGAACACGCTTATAACGAACTGACCGATATAACGAACTTATTTTTTAGTCCCGACCATTTGTTGTATAAATGCTGTATATATGCCTATAACGAACTACGGTTATTACGAACTAAAAATAATGGTCCCTTTGAGTTCGTTATAACCGTAGTTTACTGTACATGCTATACATGTGCTAATTAACTACGGTTATAACGCACTAAAATCAGTTGCCCCTTTAAGTTCGTTATAACCGTAGTCTACTGTATACTTTATTGTGAAGCGTTCATTGTCTGAACTACACCCGACATTCACATAACTCTTTTTATTCTACACACAGAACTATCTTCACAAGTCAGCAGCTTGATGAACTAGAGAAGGCTTTTAAAGAGGCTCATTATCCTGATGTGTACGCACGAGAAGTCCTTGCTATGAAGACAGATCTCCCGGAAGATCGGATACAGGTAATTTCAGATACTTTCGGTATATTCCGCCCACTCAAATATGTCGATGTTTAATTAAGAAAGACCTGTGAAGATCCGGGGTAGAATAGGTCTCCAGCAACCCATGCTTGCCGTAAAAGGCGACTATGCTTGTCTAAGAGGCGACTAACGGTGGGTGGTCAGGCTCGCTGACTTGGTTGATGCATGTCTTCCTATCCCAACTTGCATGGATCGATGCGCATGAGGTAAATCACTGCTTTGTCTGGTCCAGACTCGATTATTTGCAGACCGCCGTCATATAGCTGGAATATTGCTAAGACAAGAAATAACCTAACCTTAATTACGATAACTTTACAAATATTATCTGCACATACATGAATTCAAAACGACACTGCTTGATGCAGAGATATCTATTGGATATGGAAAGGGTTTTGTCGCTTTATTTTCTATACATGCAGATAAAACATATACCCAGATTTGATTTTACTTTGTGAGTTAGAAACCCAGTTTTAAAAAAAATCAGTGAGTTTTATATATCTTATAGTGACCATGAATTTCAATTTGTTCAGAAAGTAACAATACATACTTTGCATGACTATGTTATTTAACACCTCAATCCGCAATATTCCAGCTATATGACGGCGGTCTGTAAATAATCGAGTCTGGACCAGACAAAACAGTGATTTACCTCATGAGCATCGATCCACGCGATTGGGATAGGATGACATGCATCAACCAAGTCAGCGAGCCAGACCACCCGATCCCGTTAGTCGCCTCTTACTACAAGCACAGTCGCCTTTTATGGCAAACATGGGTTGCTGAAGACCTATTCTAACCCGAGATCTTCACAGGTCCTGATCCCACGTAAGAATGCGGGTATCCAGTAACCTATCTTTGTAGTAGAAGGCGACTAAACGGAACGGGCGGTAGGGTTCGTGGCTGATTGCATGTCATCGTATCCCAATGACGTAGATCGATGCTCATGATGTCAATCACTAGATCAGTTACTTACAGAGTGCGGCGTTTAACAACAAACAAACGTGGGGTCCGTTCCACAAGGCTACCGTAGCGCGAAGGATATTTCAACTCTCATACCATAACATAGACTTACGACTGTCGTTTCGCTACGATCGTTGTGTGGAAGGGGGCCCTGGTATCTTTACGGGTGAGATTACATACATGTGCACACGTGTAAATTGGTGATTTGTAAAAGTTCAGTTATTTTTTAATCAAAAGTCTTGTTAATCTGTATCCAGTTACTCCTAAAAGAAATGTATCGGAAATTTGAGTTGTTCTATGACAAGCAATACAAACGTTTATGATTCCTAATGAACGTTACCTCCGATTATGCCGTTTATCGTTTCCACCTCTTTTTTACTTATTAGAGTTCTCTTTGACTATGAGTGATTACCAGTGTCAAGTCCGTCCAGGTCGTCTTGACCCCACCCCCCCACCCATCAACGCCCGACTTGTCCACACCCACCCACACCTCAACGCTGATCTTTTCCCCACCCACCAACTCTCGTCTTGCCCCCACCCCACCCCCAGCACTCGTCTTGTCCCACACCCACCAACGCCCGACTTGTCCACACCCACCCACACCTCAACTCCGATCTTGTCCCCACCCACCAACGCCCGTCTTGTCCCGACCCACCAACGCTCGTCGTGTACCCCACCCATCAACGCCCGACTTGTCCACACCCACCCACACCTCAACGCCGATCTTGTCGCCACTCCACCACTCGTCTCTTCCCCTCCCACCAACGCCCGTCTTGCCCCGACACACCAACGCTCGTTTTGTCCGTATCCCCAAAAGCCCGTACTTGGAGTACGAGAGGTTACATCAACTGGAGGACTGCTATTAGCCACAGCTATCGCTCCCTCCTAATACCTCTAATAGTAACTGGTATTTGCCATACCTTTAAACGTCCCCCCTTTACCGGGGTCGTTTTTAAATGAGATAACGACATCTCTTAATCAAGTTTAAAACATTCATCGGCCCTGAGAGGGACAAGGGTAATTTTACAGATGGAAGTTCGCATTACTTATTCAAACACGGGAAAATGATCGCAAGATTTTTCTCACATTTACTAAATGATTGAGCGAGAACGGGCCCCATGGCAGTCTCAGAGGCACGATTAAGGCAACGACGCAAATAAAGCAATTGCGGAAACATATTTCAGGCGCTTAGACCGGCACGTGAGCGATTTAGGCCTCAATATTAGATGAGTTAATCACTCAGAGTGACTATTGTGTGAGATTGATTAATTTCAGATCAAACGCTTCCAAAGAAATATTCGTTTTGTCAATTATACTTCATTGATTCGCGAAGTAGTCTCTAGAGACAGAACGCACGATGAGCACGGGCGGGCGGATTCCGAATCAGACCACAGTGAGAAACGTGTTTACAAATTTCAATTTGGGAACGAGATTAGCTGTATTCTCGCGCGATTTTACGCACGCTAATGTGATTTCAATTAATAGATTTGTTATTCAAATGTCATCCGAATCTCGTGCTTGCCACCATCACCTGCCAATATGGGAACGACAGGCACGAGTGCGATGACGTCATTGAGTTACCTTAGAATCTGCTAAGGCTGTTGTGTATATTAAAAAGAGGAAATTGATTGGATGAAATAAATGTAAGGAAGTTGAACGACTGAATCACGACTCTCCGTTATCATCTAATGACGTTCGATGATTACTTTGCCTGTAACAATGGTGGTCTCTGGTTAATTGTCCCGAGTGTTAAGGAATCTACAAAAACTCACGTATCCGTTCAACTTTCAACATCTTAAGGACTGGGGAACACGTTCACTATTGTAAATTACTGTATAGATATTAATCTAATAGTTTGGCTGAATGCACCACATGAGTACATGATTGAATGCGCCCTCAGCAATAATACAGCTATATTAGCGCCCTCATGATCAGCAATAATACAGCTATATTAGCGCCTTCATGATCAGCAATAATACAGCTATATTAGCACCCTCAGCAATAATACAGCTATATTAGCGCCCTCAGCAATAATACAGCTATATTAGCGTCCTCAGCAATACAGCTATATAAACGCCCTCAGCAATAATACAGCTATATTAGCGTCCTCAGCAATACAGCTATATTAGCGCCATCAGCAATACAGCTATATTAACGCCCTCAGCAATAATACAGCTATATTAACGCCCTCTGCAATAATACAGCTATATTAGCGCCCTCAGCAATAATACAGCTATATTAGCGCCCTCAGCTTTACCATTGAGATAAGCATTACTGCAGCTTTATTAGCGCCTTCAGCAGTCGACAACTATAATAGTGCCATCAGCAATACTTGGACGATATTAGCGCCATCAGCAATACTACGACGATATAGGTGCCATCAGCAATACTACGACGATATTAGTTCCATCATCAATACTACGACGATATTAGCACCATCAGCAATACTACAACTATAATAGCGCCATCAGCAATACAACGACTATATGTCAGTACTGTAGCTATATTAGCGCGGTCAGCAATAATACAACTATATAAGCGCCATCAGCAATACTGTAGCTATATTAGCACTGTCGGCAAGACTACAACTTTATTAGCAGTATAGCGCCCTCAGCAATACTGCAGCTGTATTTGCGCGGTCGGCAATGATACAGCTATATGAGCACCATCAGCAATACTGCAACGATAATAGCGCCATCAGTAATAATACAACTATATTAGCGCGGTCGGCAATACTGCAGCTATATTAGCGCGGTCGGCAATACGGCAACTATATTAGCTTGGTCGTCAATAATACAACTATATTTGCGCCCTCAGGAATAATACAACTATATAAGCACCCTCAGCAATACTGCAACTATATTAGCTTGGTCGTCAATAATACAACTATATTTGCGCCCTCAGGAATAATACAACCATATAAGCACCCTCAGCAATACTGCAACGATGATAGCGCCTTCTGTAATACTGCAACTATATTAGCGCGGTCGTCAATAATACAACTATATTAGCGCCCTCAGGAATAATACAACTATATAAGCACCCTCAGCAATACTACAACTATATTAGCGCGGTCGTCAATAATACAACTATATAACCCACCCACCCCCCCCCCCCCCCCCTTTAGGAATAATACAACCATATAAGCACCCTCAGCAATACTGCAACGATGATAGCGCCTTCTGTAATACTGCAACTTTATTAGCGCGGTCGGCAATACTGCAACTATATTAGCGCGGTCGTCAATAATACAACTATATTAGCGCCCTCGGGAATAATACAACTATATTAGCGCGGTTTCAATCCTGAAACTCTGTTGGCGCTGTTACAAATTACAAATGGTCCAGTTCAAAGCAGTGCGTATTATCACCAGGACTCCACAAGACCTCATAGAACCATCCTGTACGGGGGCGGGGGGCTTCAAGGCCTTGAACCTCGCATATCCGAATATTGCCGAGGATTTACGTCACTCATTTATTAATGACTTTTAAAGTTTAAAATACATGCCTTATTCGAAACATACTGATGAGGCGGCATGTTGTCAGTTGGCTGAACACATGTCTTATACATGTTCCTATCAGACACGAATAAAGTCTGTTTCATGTTAAAATACATATTAGGTCTTAAGTCCATTAATAAAAAACACTTAACACTGTCTCTCCCACTAGGACTGGCCAACATGTACTATAGATGTCCAGCATCCTATAGGTTTCAAATGGATTGATGGATACCGATGTCAAACGTCAGCTCGGTATCGTGAGTCCTTCGATTACCTGCTAATGAAGTTGGGCGAGACACTCTTACATTATAAACTAGTCCTCGAAACTGATCTCTTCCTCGTCTCCCCATCTGTTCGGCCCGTGTAGTGGTAGAGTTACCTGCAAAGAGACAGCCACATAAATCATCAGTGAAATAGACCTCCAGTAAATAATGTTAATTACAGCCATCACTGAAATGTACATGTGTCAATTCCACGACGTGTTTTTCTCTTGTTTGTTTCGTTATCTGATTTCCAGGGCAATTATGTTTCATATTAGTAATAGAGGTAAATTCTTATTCTGTGTCGTCATCGTAAGTTACCTTTAATTAGGGGTATGTTGTCATTGATTTGATTTTTTAATCCAGATTTTGTGTACTGAAATTAACATACTTAAACCTGATCCCTGAAGTAAATGGCTGCAAAGCATACTGTATCAGTATTCCAATTATGTATGACAAAACATACTTACATGTGACAATACTCTTTAAATCCAAAGAAATATGGCATCATCTTACCTTTACATACAAACGAAGCTTATACAGTTTCTATTTTTGTTGTGACCATACATAAACTGACCTACATTTTATGTTCAGTACAATAGCACCCATTACGGAAACAGAATCCACAATGTTCAAGTCCTAATGGGGAAAGTTCCATGTTTAACGCATATCCAAATCTTTAGGAATTTACCAAACGTTGCTTGTCAATATGGCGCGTGTGCTATCTCATTCCATGACCTTTAACAGTGAGTCTATTCACTCGCGCTTACTTTAACGGATCGGTTGTTGGCTTGCTGACGTGGTTGACAGCGTGCCGCCTACGCCAACGACGTGGATCATTGCTCATGATATCAATCACTTGATTGTCTGCTCGCGTCTTAAGTATCTTCACAGACCGCCGTCGTCTGGCAGGACTTATGCTGAGTGCGGCCTCATGCAACGAACGCTTACCTTTTCAGGAAAGTTGTGTGAGTAGCGGGTGCTACAGGGTATGCGAACCCTTTTTACAAACGACCGCCTCCGTGGTCTAGTGGTAGAGCGTCCGCCCGGAGAGCGGATGGTCCGGGGTTAAATCCCCGGCCGCGTCATACTAAAAGACGTTTAAAGATGGTACTTGTTGTTACCCTGTCTGGCGCTCGGCATTAAGGTGCTAAAACAAGGACTGGTCGGCTCGGAGTCAGTATACTGTGTCTCTTTTGGGTATTCATGTTAAACTGCGTCATGGTATCTCAGTGAGCTAGCACTATAAATCGGCATCTGTCCGGACTAGTACAAGCAGCCACACACACACACGTACATGCACGTCGCTATATAAGTGCAATAATCTTGGACTCGACGTTAAACCCCATTTCACCTCACCTCACTTTTTACGAACACCTGGTGTCATCACTGATTTTCCGTGATCCATTCATATAGTTTTCATCATTATTTTGCCTTTTAAACCTTATGCGACGTGTTTCGGTAGATAGTCGATTATTCTGTCGCGTTGGCGTTTTGCATTTGAATCATAAATTGAGTTGATAGACTAAAGGCTGTTTTTCTCTCGACCAGACTAGTGGAGACTGGGTAGCCTTGTGGCACAGGGAACCCGGAGTCTCATGGAAATTTGTAATCCTTGCAAATGGGATTCCTGTTACTCAAACATCACGTTACTTTTCTCCAAACTAAAATTAAAAGCATATACATTTAACAGCTTATCATTGCCCAAATTACATAGAGACAGGATCTCAGTTTTACGAAAGGCACTAGCTACAATGTGTTAGTTCACACAAGGCACAATCTACAATGTCTCAGTTTCACACAAGGCACTAGCCACAGTGTTTCACACAAGGCACTAGCTACAGTGTCTCAATTTTACTCGAGGCACTATCTACAGTGTCTCGGTTTCACACAAGGCACTAGCTACAATGTCTCAGTTTTACACAAGGCACTCGCTTCAGTGTTTCAGTTCACATAAGGCACTAGCCACAGTGTTTCAGTTTCACACAAGGCACTAGCTACAGTGTCTCAGTTTTACACAAGGCACTCGCTTCAGTGTTTCAGTTCACACAAGGCACTAGCTACAGTGTTTCAGTTTTACACAAGGCACTAGCTACAGTGTTTCAGTTTCACACAAGGCACTGGCTACAGTGTTTCAGTTCACACAAGGCACTCGCTTCAGTGTTTCAGTTCACATAAGGCACTAGCAACAGTGTCTCAGTTTCACACAAGGCACTAGCTACAGTGTTTCAGTTTCACACAAGGCACTAGCTACAGTGTTTCAGTTTCACACAAGGCACTAGCTTCAGTGTTTCAGTTCACACAAGGCACTAGCTACAGTGTTTCAGTTTCACACAAGGCACTAGCTACAGTGTTTCAGTTTCACATAAGGCACTAGCTACAGTGTTTCAGTTTTACTCAAGGCACTAGCTACAGTGTTTCAGTTTCACACAAGGCACTAGCTACAGTGTCTCAATTTTAAACAAGACACTAGTTACAGTGTCTCAGTTTCTCACAAGGCACTAGTTACAGTGTCTCAGTTTCTCACAAGGCACTCGCTTCAATGTTTCAGTTCACACAAGGCACTGGCTACAGTGTTTCTGTTGTTATATGATGATATAGAAATACAATTTCGATTGACAAGATTGCCAATACAGGCTGCGTAAAATATTGCACAAATTTGATCTGAACAATCATAATTATATATTTGATTAAATATTAACTACCTCAGTTTTAAAGTACATAATTCTTGTTTCAGGTCTGGTTTCAAAATCGTCGTGCAAAATGGCGGAAAGCGGAGAAGACGTGGGGACGAAGCAGTATAATGGCGGAGTACGGGCTGTATGGAGCGATGGTCAGACACTCACTTCCGCTTCCGGAAACCATTGCAAAAGCTGCTGATGAAGGAACACTGGACACGTGCGCTCCTTGGCTTATAAGTGAGTAACCATGGACACGACATAGTCTTCATCATATTGAATGAATGCTTGAAAAAATGTACAAAATAGATACATAGTTCAGTGTTTATTAACATGAGTGTGTGAAAGTTTCTTTACGCCGCACTCAGCAATATCATGGTTATATAATGGCGGCCTGTAGCTAATATGTCTGGGATATACCAACCATTGGATGACCGCATGGGCAATTATCCGCCGTTGGCATGACATTCAATCAGTGAAGTTACAAACTACACTACCTGGTTCTTATCATAATCGTTGGGTCAATGGAACCTGTTTTGCCTTGGATCCAATGTTACTTCCTGAACGACCGCCTCCGTGGTCTAGTGGTAGAGCGCCGCCCGGAGAGCGGAAGGTCCGGCGTTCGATCCCCGGCCGCGTCATACCAAAAGACGTTAAAAGATGGTACTTGTTGTTACCCTGTCTGGCGCTCGGCATTAAGGGGCTAAAACAAGGACTGGTCGGCTCGGAGTCAGTATACTGTGTCTGATTGGGGTATTCATGTTAAAACTGCGTCATGGTATCTCAGTGTGATAGCACTATAAATCGACATCAGTCCGGGCTAGTACAAGCAGCCACACACACACGTACATGCACGTCGCTATATAAGTGCAATAATCTTGGACGCGACGTTAAACCCCATTTCACCTCACCTACTTCCTGAAGGGCTGTATACCTCATCTTCTTTGAGAGGCATTTAGAAGTTGGAGTACTAAGCAAGGATAAGATATATGGATGAACAACTTACTTTATTACAATTAGGAGCGACGTTTTGGTGGAGGTTCTAACACCGTTGCTTTGATAACCGTGTTATAACCTACACCGGAACGTCGCTTATAGTTCAGTATAGCTTTGTAAGCAAAGCTCTTTTGATCATTTTAGTCATAATGAAATATTCAAATAAGGCAACTAATAAACGCATGACGTGTTTCAGGTATGCACCGGAAGTGCAATGACGCTGCCAGGAGTTTTCAGTCGGATGAAAAGGATTCCAACCAAGAGACCCCAGATTCTACCGACGCTATAAAGACAAAGGGCAGTCCCGACCCCCGGGTTGACGTGGAGCTGGGGTTGAATCCTGACCCTCGCACAGACAGTATCAACGCCTTACGGGCCAAGGCACAGGAGCATAGTGCCAAGCTGTTCAGGACTTTCTCCACAGGCACTGATACGGAGAAATGATTTTATACTATAAGAAACAATTTCTTCTTGGTGGTCCAATGTTTTAGGAGATACCTTGTCGGGGCCATGACACAGTGTCAGTTGGAGCATCAGACAAGAATCGATAATTGAGAAGAAGAAACGGAACTGTCGAGTGTTTTGCTGGTAACACAGTGAATATGCCATATTATATATTCAATGTCACTTATTTATGCTGAGAAAAATAGCATATGGCTGAAGAACATTCCAAGAAACGTTCTGCGCTTATCACGACTGAGACAAAACATACATGTATATTATTGTAAAGCTGTTGAGTGAAGAACGGTGTATACCCTGTACAGGGTGTCGACAAGGACTAAACCAGAAAGCAAACGATCAGTGAAATCTGATAAGAATTCGTCCAAAAAGCATTAGGCATTCTTAAAGATTACCGACGCTGTTCCCCTGGATTATCTTTCCAGAGGCTATATGCAGCATTTGGGAATGATTAGCATCGAGATTCATAAATGAACTCGTGTCAGGATTTATAAATTCTATCCATGATCAAATTGATTACGCTGTGATGTAACACGTTCGTGGTAAACAACAGATTGTCACAGCAACTTTTCAGATTTTCCCTTTGATAGGATATTATTGACATGATTTTGATGGGATTAATACTGGTGCATCGTGTGTAACTGTAAATAACACCATACTGTTATTCATCTGTTTGGCTGGACGGTGTGTCGTTCCGGACTAAAAAGGTAAAATTGGGTTTAACGTCGCGTCCAAGATTATTGCACTTATATAGCGACGTGCATGTACGTGTGTGTGATGCTGCTTGTACTAGTCCGGACTAATGCCGATTTATAGTGTTAGCTCACTGAGATACCATGCCGCAGTTTAACATGAATACCCCACTCAGACACAGTATACTGACTCCGAGTCGACCAGTCCTTCTTTTAGCCCTTTATGCCGGGCGCCAGACAGGGTAACAACAAGTTCCATCTTTTAAAGTCTTTTGGTATGAAGCGGCCGGGGATCGAACCCTGGACCTTCCGCTCTCCGGGCGCACGCTCTACCACTAGACCATGGAGGCGGTCCGGACTAAAGGTTTTACATGTAGTAACCATGGAAACCCGACACACAGATACCAACCCACTTGGACTGGGTATGCCGTTAATGGGTACATCCTACTTAATTGTAATATAACTCACATAGTTTCGGGCATTTTCAATCTCATTAAAATCATATCTTAGTTCTCGCTACAGCTGAACAAAGATCTGAGGAAATCCCATTACGGGTCACGTCAGACCGACCTTGCACGAACTTTGACCGACCAATGGAATGACCAATCAGAAGGCAGCTTTCTCGTGCTTTACGGCACAAATTTCAAATTGGCGACTACGCTTCGAAACATATTTTGACAAATTCTCGATTACAAATTTGAAACCTGAACAAAAGAACATTCTGGAATGGCTGATAGATGGTCTAGATTGTATGGATTCAGTCGTTAAACCCGTAACTATCGTTCGGAGTTAAAGTTTTCGATGTTGAATGATTAGAAATCACATTCCAACTGTCACTTTCCTAATCTGGTAAGCGACGTTCTGATTGGTCGGATGAAAGGTCGTTTTGACGTGACCCCTAATGGGATGTCCTTAGATCTTTGTTTAGCGATAGCAAGGACTGAGGTCTGATTTTAATGAGATTGGGGCATTTTTGCAGTGATGAATTAAAGTCTTCTTTTTTGAGGATTGTTTTGAAAATTAATGCTTTTATTGCCATATCACGTCGGCAATCAATACACGACGTCATCGTGTGTGGGGTCATTTGGCATGACGTTTCTATTACGTCATACTTTACATATACATTACGTAGATCGTATTAAATTATTACTTCAAATGTGCTTCATCTTAATGAACTTTTTTGCACCTAATGCAACATCAAATCAATGCAGTCATATACAATTAATTCAAACATGCAAGATGTATATCCTTACATTTCGTTTACGAGGACACGAGAGGTGTATTGATCATTAGATTATTCGTTAATGGGTTCCCTTCATAACATACATTCAAAGTTCATACACATTACCCGTACATCTACATGTATAATACCCGTTACGTTCCCTGTTGCAACTAACTTTTCATATCAGTCCTAAAAAGTGCACCTCTTGGTACAGCATACATTGTATCATGGCTTCTTTTTAAACGTTTTTCTTCACTTATATGAAGGAAAAACTCTGCAATTGTACACAGCAGACAAACTTCAAACTTACCACATCGTTTTTATTAGTTTCAACAAAATCAGTAATGGTTCTATCGTGTCACTGGATTGTCTGGTTTATTTACAGGCTGATGTCGCATGGCAGAAGTACTGCTGTACGGTGTCAGGCAATAAATACTTTTATGTAAATTGTGTGAATAGCGGGTGCTACCGGTAGGGCAGGACATGCTTACCCTTTTCGGGAACACCTGTGTCATCACTGATTTTCAGTGGTCCATTCATATAAATTCCACAGCTATTTTGCCCTTTACGCCAAACTGAATCTGTTTCGGCAAACATTCTCGTGCAATGACAATTTATATTAACCTATTAAAAATGTATTAGAAGATACGTATTTGTCAGTGTAGGTATGAAAACCCATGTAAAGCTTATTTCTTATAGTTCTTTCATTTTATGGAAGCTTATGTATATCTAATACACCGCAATGCTAAAACTGCATACATCTGATCAAAGCGAGGTGTACATACCGCCATGTTTTACAGCGCTCACATCGTGATCGTCCTACTTATTTGGTAACAGATTAAATTATGTGTACAAAATTATGTCCCGGTATATTTGTTTGTCAGAATAATCACCTCTTTCTTCAGTAAATGACTGACACACATTGGATTAAAACACCCCCTTTACAAAATTTACAATGTTGTAAATGGAGACAAATGCATGTAAATGTATGTAAATTTAGACAAGGTATGGGAGTGGTGACTGAAATGTTCTGAGCCTAACTACGAAGGTTGTATAGTACAGCCTTAGTCCTTGTGTTGGGTAAAATACGTTCCATGCTCACACAACCTGGCAGCATATGTCTGCAGGTATCAAAGTTACTTAATATGCTCTGTTGATGGAATCTAGGCAGACTCGGTGCCAACTTTAGGGGATTTTCTTTGTTACTGCTAAGATGATTTAAAGAGAAGAAGAGAGACTAGAAGGTGATCCAATATAAGGAAAATGGTGATAAAATATGATTGTGGATGATACCTTTGAGAATTTACGTCGTTTTATGAGCCATTTGTTGACCATTCTTGGAAACATTTTCATCTCCGAAGAAGAAGTCAAAGTCTGTTCAATCAGCTGACAATGTAATGGCTTCGGTTTTCTGGATTCCAAAGGAATCCTGCTGGTGGCCTATCTTCCGAAAGGTCACACAATTAATAGCCAATATTATGCGATTCTGCTCAGATACCTGCGTAAGAATATTAAGCCTAAACGTCGTGGAAAACCCACTAAAGGTTGTTCCCAACGGGACAATGCACTTGTCCCTACGTCTGTTGTCACCATGGCTGCAATATATATGACTGGCAGTGAATTCAGTGAACATCCTCCGTCTTCACCATATTTTTCAACGTCAGAATTCCACCTCTTCCCAAATTTGACTGTCAAGCTTTACAAGCATTACGCAAATGATACTGACGTCATCACTGACGTCATCTCTCTGCACCATCAGGAGAAAGCCTACTACTTGTTTGCAGAAGTGTCTGGAAGGGTTTATGTTGACTTATGTACAACATTTGTTTAGCCCTGTAAAGACGTGATTTTAGCCAAAAGATTCTTTTGACTGGGGACGGGGTTTCAAATATTAACTTACATGCATTTGCTTTCAAGTGAAGGTATACATTTCTTCCATTGACGTTGATGAAATCTACTGATAGAGAGGTGCAATATGACAGTCAGATAACCAAGAACATCTTTCTTTATTGACTTCTTTTGTCAAAGTATTTAATTCTACATATTTACACGGAATAGAATGGAATGTAAATATATTGTGATATTTAAGATGATTATGTGATTATACACTTGGTTGATGTAAATAGTGATTTGATTATAATAAACAAATACTCATCATTTGTGTGTTTTCATGGTATGACTTGTTTATAAATACGCCAATCCAAAGACGAACTCCTAAACCGTGAAGTTATGTATTCATTTAAAACTCTCAGATCAGTGAAAGCTCAACATAGTATCTAATGCAAACTTCAAATCAAATAAGTCACTTGTTAAGACGATGGTAGATTATGTCTTTTGAATATACAACGAATTTTTTCGATGTGGTCAAACTGTCCAGTGGATTGTGTCATTAGCAGGTAAAATATACGTATTATGACTATATACCTATATAAGGTACAGATTAAACTACAAGCTACGAGGAAATTAAGAATTATCAATCCCGTTTGAGGTAATTTTGTAAGTCCCGAGCCATGGCGAATATAGATTATAGAACAAATTCATCGGGTGGTCAACCTCGCTGACTTGGTTGATGCATATCATCGATCGCAATTGCGTGGATCGATGCTCATGATTTTATTCACTGGATTGTCTGGTCCAGACTGGATTATTAACAGACCGCCGTCATATAGCTGGAATATTGCTGAGTGCGGCGTTAAACAACAAACCAACCAAACTTCATCTCAAACGGAGAAATCACCTCAGTCTGTCTATTGTTAGAACGACGTCACAAAGAACCACATGTGATGTCTTTTACAATGGTTGACGTCATCTTCATTTGCAATATTTGCGTGGTTTGACGTCATGTCGCTATGGATCATTTCCAGAGCAATGAAAATGACGAAACTAGCTGCATGCTCCAAGCCAATCAGAATGCAGCAACATTTACTCAGTGAGAAATACTCATGATGTCAGCTGTATCCGTGCCACTGTGAGTGAAAATCTGTTAACTAATGTACAATACACTACCAGGTAAATATAACATAGGACTATATCCAACGCTTCCACTACAAGTTTATTATTGATACTATATACGTATTCATAAGTATTAAAATGGACTGTTCTGTTCTTTATGCGTATGAATCGGAATGTCTGTTTGGATTCGCAAAAACAAAACATGGGCATTTGGCCAAATGGTTTACCTTAAGTTTCCGGTATGTCGATGATCTGATATTCAATTCCCCTTCCACTGATTTACCACCAGAAATAAAAGAAACCATCGCCTGTTTCATGTTTGTATTTATGTATGACGATTCCGAGTGACAAGACTGTGTGACAAGAGGGATGACTTCAACTTTCCAGTAGTCAACTTTCCCTTTATGTCGAGCAATATTCCAGCAGTTCCGGCCCTTTGTGTCTACATCTCACAAGTTTTGATTAACAATCGAACATGCTCTTTCGACTAAGATGTCAAAAAGTGTCAGACGATTCTTTCTCAAAAGTTGTTTGATCAGGGTTTACAGCATTCAAAGACACAGTAAGGCTTTTAAGAAGTGTGGAGGACATTTAAAAAGTTTGACGCTTCTCTGATCAAAATAACGTTCGATGCATTTCCTTATTTTCACTTGTACCATATGTTCCCTTGTTTTTTTTCAGGTGAACGCTTGATATGCTTTTGCATGTGTGACGGGTACTACAGGTAGGACGGGATACGCTCACTTTGTTGCGAACACCTAGTATCATCACTAATTCATGGTGATTCATAAACACATGGTTATCGGAATTGTACAATGGACTATGCTTTGAGCAGATATATTTTTATGATTGTTAATATGATTTTGTAGCTTTTATTGTTGTAATCTGCTACCATATATAATAACACAACCTGTGTTATACGCCAG